CTAACATGTGAGTGGTGCTCACTAATGTGTGTGGTGCTCCCTAACATGTAAGTGGTGCTCCCCAACATGTAAGTAGTGCTCAATAACGTGTTTGGTGCTCCTTAACATGTGAGTGGTGCTTGCTAACATGCAGGGTCCTCCTTCACTTGTATGTGTTGCTCCGTGACATGGATACGTGTGTGGTACTCTCTAGTGTGCGCGGGGCTCACTAACATACAAATCAGGTACACTAAGACACCCACTGTGCTCACTGACAAGCCTGATGCTTTTAGGTTTATCTGTTCACATCACTACACCCCACAAAGGCAGAGGTTGCCATGACTACTTATAAGAATGAGGAAATTGGCTGGCGCACACCTTTGATCCCTGGCTGGCACTCGGGAGGCAGAGGCAGGCGGATCTCGGTGAGTTCGAGGCCAGCCTGGTCTACAGAGTGAGATCCAGGACAGGCTCCAACTACACAGAGAAACCCTGTCTTGAAAAACAGAAACAAACAAACAAAAAGAACGCCAGTCCCGAGGGCCGGTGGAGCTGCACAGCTTGCCCAGGGTTCCGCGCTCCTGAGCCGAGTGACTAGTCTACGCCCTTGGCTCGGGCTTTAATGGTCACCAAGTCAGCAAACAACCCAAAATGTCCCTGGAAACACGTGTGAAGACATGGGCTAGGAATGGAATGTGAAACCCCTGGAGTCATGCTAGGGAAAGGGGGGTCTTCACCCAGCCAAGATGGAGAAATCCCTCCCCTGCCTTTTGCTTCACAGTTAGAAAGGAGGCTTCACACAGGGGAACGCAGGTTCCCCCAGCCGAGGAGACTCAGCGATGCAGACACAAACTGTGACTGGATGGCAGGATGTTCTACACCCTTCCTAATTTAGACAGGACAAGAAGGGATGGAGCACGTGCGGAATTGCATCTGGCCTCCCTTCCCAGTCTCTCTCTATGCTTCGTGAAATGTTTTCACGCATGCAGAGGTTTTTCATAGGAGAGAGCACAGAAGGGGGCATCTAATCCTACAGCGATCTACTACCCCAGACCCAGGTGCAGGAAGAGGGGACAAGCAACGTGCTGCCCCACTCCGAGGGATGCCATCCACAGAGACTAGTGCAGGAATGGTGTCTTGAATTTGTGCCACACAGCCTCCAGGCTGGAATTCCCCCAAATGGAAGCTGGCAGGGACTTCGTGGCAGAGGGAAGCCTCTCTATGTCCGCGGTGTCCAGCGGCGGCCAGCCCCTGTGAGTGGCGTTCCCCGCCTCTGCCTCTTCTTGGATGCTTCCCTGGGTATGGTCTGGCCTGGTTACTGCTTTCCTGCACAAGCCAAAGACAGGTCCAGGCAGCGCCCGCTGCTCATTAGAATGCAAGTTCATTGCTGAAAATGCAAATGACCCATTTCACCTTATCCTTCTGACAGACGCGCTGGGAGCGATGACTGGTTGCTCTCTACCTGTCACCACTGCCGCTCTGATCATTGTGTGAAGCGCCTGCCACGCTTTCAGGTGCATAGATAGTAGCCGGCACAAACGCCCTCCTGCTTGAGACACGATCATCCACTGCCCCCTAGTGGACTCCCTGTGAATGACAGGAGAGGCACCCAGTGTGTGGCGGCTCTGAGCAAACAGAGCTTGCGTTTTATTTTAAGAATGGCTTGCAGCTTCCGTTGATTTCATCTCTGCAGCTCATGTCTGTGCTTCTTAATTAACAGCTCCGAGACGGAATAAAAATGTCAGTCACGGGTGACTTTGTGGAGCTGTATTTGAATGTTAAAAAGTCATGGCATTTTCAAACCGTATTTAAGACCTCATTTGATGATCCTTTCAAAAAAAAATTTTTTTCCCCTTAGTCTGGGGAAAGGTTTAAAATGAATGTAGTGTTAAACATCTCAGGTTGGCATTTTGCTAGGCTTCGGGGTTATGTGAAAGAGAAACCAGATTATTTGTAGGACAGAGGCACTAACCGCCTGCTTTGCCATCCGATCTGCCTCCTAACCCTGCTCTGGCAGATCTCAGAGGCGGCACAGTCTGCATACTTCTTCATTGTCCTGTTTGCATGGCACCAGGGCCCGGCCATACCTGCATAAGGGAAGCCACATCTGTGACAGGGGCCCGGTCACATCTGCATAAGGAAGCCACATCTGTAACAGGGGCCCGGTCATGCCTGCATAAGGGAAGCCACATCTGTAACAGGGGCCCGGTCACACCTGCATAAGGGAAGCCACATCTGTAACAGGGGCCTGTTCATCACTCCCTTGTGAAGGCCGCTCCTTGAGCGACTGTCCTTGAGGTGCCTGCAGCTGGAGCTAAGCCTCATAGCGTCTTAAAAGATGACTTCCTGTGGGGCGGTGGTGGCGAACGCCTTTAATCCCAGCACTCGGGAGGCAGAGGCGAGTGGATCTCTGTGAGCTCGAGGCCAGCCTGGGCTACAGAGTGAGAGCCAAGAAAGGCACAAAGCCACACAGAGAAATCCTGTCTCGAAAAACCATTAAAAAAAAAAAAAAGATGACTTCCAGCAATGCTCAGCTGCCTCACAAGAGGTTTATTAAGGGATTCTACTTCTTTTTCAAATGCTTAATTTGCTATTTTTAGTTATGTGTGTCTGTGAGTGAGCATGGACACAAGAGCGCAGGTATCCACAGAGGCCAGAAGAGGGCGTCAGATACCCCGGAGTTGGAGTTACAGGTGGTTGTGAACTGCTCAGTGTGGGTGCTGGGAACTGAAGTTGGATCCTCTGGAAGAGGCAATATGAACTCTTAATTACTAAGCCATCTGAAATCTATTTGTTTGTATTAATATTGAGTGTGTGTGTGTGTGTGTGTGTGTGTGTGTGTGTGTGTGTGTGTGTGTGTGTGTACGCGCTCGAGCGCGTACAGATATGAGGTCAGAGGACAATTTGTAGAAGTCAGTTCTCTCTCTCCACCATATGAGGCACAGGGATGAAAATTTAGGCTATCAGGCTCATGGCAAGTGCCTTTGCATGACAAACCAGTTCGCCAGCCCCAAACCAATACATAACGTTTTAAGTTTTTAAAATATATTTTATTTGTGTGGTGTTTTGCCTGATGTGCGTCTATGCACACATGCATGCAGTGCCCATGGAGGCCAGAAGAGGGCATTAGATCCCCTGAGGCTGGAGTTGCAGACAGGTGAATACTGCCACGTAGGTCCTGAGACCTGAATCTGGGTCTTCTGGAAGAGTAGCCAGTGCTCTAGCTCATCAATACATAACTTTTAGAGTTTCTACATCGTTTTCTTCTTGCTAGGACTTTAAAAAAAAGAAATGGAACCCTGGCAGAGTTCAGTGTTTTTATTGTTCTTTCTTCACCTTGACTCTCTAGACTGCACCAGCTCCTTTCTAGTAGCCTGGACTGTTGCACCCGGACCTCCAGGGAGGAAGGCTGGACCAGCCACACCCTAAGGCAGTGCTATGCACAAGTCAGTTTCCACCTGTACTTCAGGGAGGATGCTGTGAGAACACTGTCCCTCAGACAGTGTTCAGGGATTTGTGACCTTGTTGAGGAACCTGGCCACATGGTATCTGCAGAGACTGTGCATGGTCCGGGTGATATGGCCACAGACCATGGTATCTGGGGGAGACAGTCAGAGCGGCGTGTGCTGGCCTCACCCCAACATCTCTGTCCCGTGTATTTGTTTCCATCAGGCTGACTGTGGGTCAGTTAGCCCTCGCGATAGGAAACTTCTAAGAGAAGTCACCCTCAGCGAGAAAGCGCTCACGGATACACAGAAAATAGAACTCAATCCACAGAATTTTCCACCTGCTGTAGATCCAAAACCACAGTCCACAAGGTGCTCTGGGGTTCTTCCTCAGCTAACCGTAGTTTTCCCCAGCACGCCCCAGGAGGAAGCTTCCACCCCAGCACGCCCCAGAAGGAAGCTTCCACCGGTGACTCATGGTGTTAAACTTTTCCTCTTGAGTCAGAAATGAACTAGCGCTGAGGCTCAGTGGGGAGGGGAAAGCTACCGTCTGGCCCGTGGGTTCTGTCATGGGGTGGGGCTGGCCTGTGTAACAACGTAACAGAAAACCCAGGGGCTGCTGCAGAACTCCATCAATCCAAATCAATCCAAAGCTGGGGGGGGCGGGGGGTACAGCCTGGCACAGTGACACCAGGTGGTAAAGTTGCTTTTTTTTTTTTTTTTTAAATCCCCATCATTGCCCATTATGTTACAGTGGGGCCAATGACCCTTTGCTGTCTCCAGGTAAGCCAGTTTCAACCAGCCAGTGTGAGACCCTAAGGTCCCAGGACTGGATGATCCTCATCATCTCTAGCAAAGTCCTCAGGGAGGAAGGCTCAGCAGAGAGAGACTGTGCTTGAAAATTAAGATTTTCTTTAAATCTTTTATTAAATCTACATTAAAATTAAGATGGATTTTTCCATTTATCTTGGGTATTTCCAAACTGAACTAGAGGGTCTGGGGATGTACCTCAGGGTGAGAATGCTTACCTAACATGTACAAGGTCCTGGGTTCAGTCCCCAGAACTGGGGGGCAGGGGGGGGTGAAGCCTGTGTAAATGATTTTTAAATCGTTTTTTGTATCTCTTCATATTTAAAATGATGGCCTAGGGACACAGTGGTATTTCTGCTTTTTTAGCCTCTGCCACAGCTGCATCTGGCACTGAGATCCCAGAGACCTGGTGTGGGCCGTGACATGCAGGCACAGAGAAACCCTGTTCTGAGCTGGCGGGCTGCCATCCGGCTAAGAAGCGGCTGTCCTCGTGGCAGCCCAAGCGCCATGCCAGGGGACCCACTCCAGCCGCCTCATTGGCCACACCAGGAGGGTATGACGGAGGGGCTTCAAAGCTGCGGCCGCCACCGCAGTGGCTGGAACCTGGCCTTTCATGTTTCAATCCAGACAAATGCGTGGCTGGAGAAAGGATTCATCCAAGCCTGTGTCACATCGGCCATCTGGAAAATCGCCAGCCGCTCATTTAGCAAATCACTTTGTTTAAAGGCGGCTTCTGTGTCGCAGCGTTTATGCTCCCAGGATGGATCGCATAATTCCTCCGCCTTGGTTTATCTGCGTTGCTGCTCCCGATCTGCCTAGCAACTTAAAGGGCCGTTAATGCGTGACAAGGCACTTGACCCGCATGATTTCCAAGCCAAGGGAGAACGTTCGTCTTGAGCTGGGTTGTCCTCTCCTCCAAAGCAAGGGCGCGTCGCCCGCGCTCTCCGCCTTAATGAAGCCTGCCTTTATTAAGAATCCCATTAAGCTCCACAGGGCCCAGCCATCCAGCACTGTAAATATTACCCCATAGAAATGCACCCGGGGACCTGCCGGGTGGGGCTGGATCCATGGTGAGCACTCAGCTCACAGGGAACAGGAAAGGCTGTTGGTTGACAGGCTTGTGCCTCTTTGTTTGGGAAGATGGGTTAGAATCATTAGCAGGTAATGTCACAGGGCCCCTGGGGTGGCTTGAAGAAGGGTTGGAAGCAATCTGACTTCAGAATAGCAATGAGTTCTCAAGTGTCGGATCCGGATTTTCTTTTTCTGAAAGAGGAAAGAGGAAGCGATGGAGGCTGAGCCGCTTTCTTATCAGAATGTCGCCCGTCATTTTGTCCTGATATGGATTATCATCTGTCATTTACCAGGACAAATGACCTCAGTGACTTTGCTTCCATAAATTGCTCATCTGAGGTCAGGGTATTAGTAAGTCTGGAAGCCAGGAACTCAAATCCGTTGAGTGTGTCGAAGACATATTACATGCTCAGCACTTAACTAGATCATGGGGGGGGGGGTAAAAATAGCGCAATAAATATGCCTTGCAATCAAAGCCTTTCAAAAGACAAACAAATACAAATGTGTGTATTTAGTGACTAGTAAGGACACAGGCTTTGGTGTCAAGTGCTGCTACTATTGGGATTGAGATCTCTGTCTGAGATTTAGTCTCCTCATCTCCAAAGGAAATGGACATTTCTTTACCTCTTTGAATTATTTTTAGAAGTACTGAGTTAGTACTTATTTTTTTTAAGATTTACTTATTTATTATGTATACAGAAGAGGGTGCCAGATCTCATTACAGATGGTTGTGAGCCACCATGTGGGTGCTGGGAATTGAACTCGGGACCTCTGGAAGAGCAGTCGGTGCTCTTAACCTCTGAGCCATCTCTCCAGCCCGAGTTAGTACTTATATATAGTAAGAACTCAGCCATCCTACTAACGGCAGGTCGGGGATAGTGATCTTCCGTGTTAATTAGAGAAAATAGTCTTTGGACTGGGGTAAAGTGAGGAGACCTTCATGAACCAGCTCCATACTACAATAAGTACCAACTCCGGGCAGGGAGAGGATAGCCAATGGGCAGCGCTCCGTCAACAAGACACGGAGAGACGGTGGGCAGGGAAGGAAGTGGGCAGCCAGGTGGACTGGAGGGAAGCTCTAACTCAGAGCACAGAAGTGAAAATGATGATGAATGAATGAGGGGCCCCAGTGATGGAGGCTTGAAGGCCGAGGTCTTTCAAGGGTCTCAAGTTAACCTAGCAGGCAACAGGCTGCCATCTTGGTTTCTTGCAGGAGAGCAGCCGAGTGGGAGCTGTCTGTGGGTTGGTGTGGATGGACGGGGTAGGTCACTGGAGAAGATCGAGGCTGGAAGATGCGGTCTGAGGCCAGATATCACCCCAGGTCAGATGGATGAGGAGCTCAGCAGAGGGAGCCAGGGGATGAATGGGAGGGAACAGGAGGAAGAAAAGCTGGAATTCCCTTCCAAAGCATGCAGACCTGACGCCTACATGCACACCAGGCAGGAAGAAGAAGGGAAAGGAGAGAGAATCTAGCCTTTTGAGACAACAAAGCTGGTTGCTTCCCCGACCATTCTAGCTTGGCTTGCTCCAAGCATAGGTCCCTAGGACATCAAGAGGGTGGACAAGCCTCCGGAAGCAGGCGAAGCCAGGGTGCCTTCTGGCTAGCTGCATTGGGGTCATAGGTTTGGTTTTTTAAGTGGGGGGACTATCAAACAGTGAGGGGCATGCGCAAGCGTCCAGTGGGAAGATACAAGTCCCAGGGGCTCATGGGAGCCACACAGATGTGCACACCATCGGTTTAAGGAAGACAGCCGTGGTATAAACCAAGCCCTGCAAGGACTCAGAGAAAGCTGCAAAAACCCGAGGCCCCGATGAAACGTAAGACAGGAGCTAAGGGAGGGGAGGCGCTTGCAGAAGCCAAGGGCCAGGAGGTGCTGAGGTGGGAACTGGCATTCAAATGTATGAGACGCAGAGCTGTCTTGAGCAGAGTGGCGGGAGGGGCAGGGAGAGAAGCCGGCACAGTGAGAAAATAATAGCGCTTCGCTGTTGATTAGGAGAGGTCTGGGGAGGGGAGGGAAGGGAGGGAGGGGAGGGGGCGAGGATTTCTTAAAATGGAGTGAGTTTCTCCATGTCAATGGAACGGCATGAAAAGGAGGTGACAGACCCGCGATGACATTGATGAAATTCCCAGGAATAGATTGCTCCCCGGAGCAATCTTTATTTAGGACGCCATTGGCATGGACTTGTAGTGTATGTCATACTTAGGTTTTAAAAAGCCGGGCACACCAGGATTCCATGCACCCAGAGTAGATAGTTTGTTGGGTTCATTTGTCTGAACTCAAAAACCCCCCAAATGGCCCTGCTCTACAAATTACAACCTTCATTGCCCCGTGAACATCATTCAACCTCACTTTCACTGTCTTAAAAAAACAAAACCAAAAACCAAGAATCATAAAATTGTCAGCCATATGACATTATCATCATCATCATCATCATCATCATCATCATCATCATCATCGGTTCTTTGAGACAATGTCTCACTACGCAGTCCAGTCTAAACTTGAACTCGTCATCCTTCTGCCTCAGCCTCCTGAGTTCTGAGATCACACCTGTGTACCACCACGTTTGTAAACCTATAGGATTATTGTGAGAATTTAATGCACTAAAGTATGCAATGCCATCTCTGGATGAGTCTTCCTGTCCCATGGATGGTGGAAAATGCTAGGGGGTTTGCACTGGCGGTATACAGGATCTATTAGACACCTCATGGCGGTGGCAAGGGGTTTTGTTGTTGCTGTTTTCTTTTCTTCTTTTAAATTAAAATAAAGCTGCACCGTCATTCTATGCGCCGTCCTACTGGGCCAGTGTGTTCCACCGCTCACTGTGACCCTTGTGCTGGCATCATCAAGGTCCTCTGTGTGCCACAGGGCAGTCCCCTGTGACTCTACAGCCTGACACTTGGACAAGCGCCATCTGGCAGAGCTCAGGTCCCATTCAAGGTTATGGAAGTCCCGTGTCTCTGCATGAGACACTCCCCCTGCCTGGGGAGAGGGAGGGCCGTCTGAAAGTCCCCCACTCAGTTCATGTAGAGAAAGCTGCCTGCTGTTTCTGCCGAGGGAATGCACGCTTGTAGCCCCCGGGGAACAAGTGGGATGCGTTGAGTTTCCACTCATTTTTCTTCTCTTTTCTTCTTCAATTGATTGCAGGGATGTGTGAACATTCTGGTTTTGGCATCTGTAGGTGAACTATTAAGGTAAATATTGAAGTTTAAATGCAATAGCAGAAGAAGTGGAGCCATATGTTTTTAAAGCAAAAGAAAAAGTTTTTCATAATATTTCATGTATGTATCGCAGTGGGGTAAACGATTCAACCAAATGTTCTCAAGATGGCCGAGGGGCTTGGGGATACGGCTCAGTCTGTAGAGTACCTATTGTCCAAACGTGAGGACCTGAGTGCAGATGCCCAGCACCCACATAAAAGCTGGGTGCAGCACACCAGCAACCCCAGCGGTGGGGTTGGAGTGGAGATAGGCGAATCCCCGGGTAGGCTGGCCAGCCATTCTGACTTAATCGGTGAGCCCCCGGTTCCGTGAGAAAGCCTGCTTCTAAACAAGGTGGGGGAGCAGATGGAGATACCTAATGTCAACCTCTCACTCCACATGCATTGTATGTGTGGTCCTGCATGTGTGCATGCATACACACTCACACGCATGTACACACACACAGAGGTGGGGGCTTGGGGGGTTGCTTTTTCTTCTCCTCCCTAATTTTCTTACACTCAGGTCCCACTGCACATTCCTACTCCATGATACATTCATTTCTCAGCTTTAACCTCCTACCCCTGTCATGACTGCAATACCAGTATGTACCTCCCAAGCCGAATCATTCATTCATTCATTCATTCATTCATTCATTCATTCATTCATTCAAGAGACAGGGCTCTACATAACAAAGCAAATGATAATAAAATCAGTAATGTAAAAGATCAAGATGGGTATTTCGGTAAGCATAAAGTATCCAGAGCTGTATGACTCAGGGGGAGCACGCTGTACCTAGTGGTTTAAATAAGAACGGCCCCCCCATAGTTGAATGCTCAGTCATTAGAGAATGGCGCTGCTTGATAGGCATTAGGAGGTGTGGCCTTGTTGGAGGAAGTGTGTCACTGGGGTGGCCTTTGAGGATTCAAATGCTCAAGCCAGGTCCAGTCTCTCTCTTTCTCTTCCTGCTGCCTGAGAATCCAGATGTAGGACGCTCACAGCTCCTTCTCCAGCACCATGCCTGCCTGGGTGCCACCATGCTTCCCACCACCATGATCATGGACTAAATCTCTGAAACTATAAGCCAGTCCCAATTAAATGTTTTCCTTTATAAGAGTTGCCGTGGTCATGGTGTCTTCCCAACAATAAAACACGACTAAGACACCATGTAACAAACATCCACCAAGTTCAGTGGGTTTTCATAACAGGGATTTATTTGCTATTCAAGTAATAGATGTATTTGGTGGGCAGCCTTGGTGTGGTGACTCAGGCACCCACCTTCTCCTACGCCCAAGCAACAAAGTGGGGGAGACGTAAGGAGGGGGCCATGCAGAAGAGTATTCTAGGGTTGGGGATTTAGCTCAGTGGTACAGCGCTTGCCTAGCAAGCGCAAGGCCCTGGGTTCGGTCCTCAGCTCAAAAAAAAAAAAGAGTATTCTAAGTCCCCTGTATGTGCCACATGCCACTCCTGCCTAACGTATCGGCTACTTCTCTGTCGCTGTGATAAAACACCATGACCTCAAGCAACTTTCAGAAGAAAGAATTTATTTCAGCTTACAGTTCTGGGGGTGGGGTGAGGTCCGTAATGATGTGTGTATGTGTGTGTGTGGGGGGGGGGGGGGGGGTGGACATTACAGCCGGCTGAGAGATCACATCTTAAACTGCAAACAGAAGACCGAGAGAGCAATCTTGAAGCAGGGTGAAGCTACGAACTCTCAAAGCCCAACCTCCAGCGATGAGCTTCCTCCGGCAAGGCCGCACCACCTCCCCGGACAGCGCCACCAACTGGAGACCAAGAGTTCAGCTGCCCAAGCCCACAGCGGGGGTGGGGGGTGGGGGAGTGTGTGTGTGTGGGGGGGTGCATTTCTTGTTGAAACTACCACAGCCTGAATTCCAGAGGCCAGTCACAGGGCCACCTTTCCTGCAACTTCCTACCGCTCCACCGTTCTGAACTCTTCTCTCCAGCGATCCTGGGATCCAATCCCATCTCTGCCAGAAGGTGTCCCGACCACAGCTCAGAGCGTCCGCTCTGCAGTGAGCGCACGGCACCAGTCACGCCCAGCAACTTTCTCACCGTCAGATGTGCTGTGGGAAGGAGAGCACCTGTCCTTAGCCCGGCTCTCAATTCCCAGCGGCAAAGGCAGGGATAGTGTGAGTCAGCTTTCTATCACCATGACGACATACCCAAGATAGACACCTTTACAGAGAAAAAGGCTTCTTTTTGCTCAGTTTGGGAGATGTCAGCCCTTGATCACTTTGCCCTGTTGTTTTTAGCCCTTAGGGACACACTGTACCTCACAGTGAAAGCGCATAATGGAAGAGGCCATCTTATGGTGGCCTACAGGCAAAGGAGACGGGAAGAGAAGGGGCCAGGATCCCAACATCCCTTTGAAAGCACCCCCAATGACCTAACTTCGTCCCCCTAGGCCTTACCTCTTCAAGGTTCCATCACCTCGCCCCCACTAGTTGGACAAAGTTGTCAACACATTAAGCCTTTGGCGGACACTCTACATCCAACCTATTGTAGTGAGAGGATATGGCACACCAGCCCAAAGGTATGGTCCCTGGCAGGGACTCCCCTGCCTCCGAGTCCTGGGTGATTACCTAGAAAACATTGCTGCCCACACAGAGCCAGCAGAGGTTGGACGAGGGTGATTCGGGGGCATCCAGGAGGAAAGACCAGCTCAACTGCTGGGGTGTCACGGGCGTTCTGAGGTCAGGACTTGGGTAGCAAAGCCTGTCTCAGAGAGGGACAGGTTGACTGTGAGGACTGTGTGGCCACCAAGGGTGCTCCTTGGAGACTGGAGATGAAGTCCGTCACTGAAGTGATTCAGTCAGGAATGAACTTGGCTTCAAAGTCAGCTAAATGTCCTTTTCAAACAACAAAAAGAAAAGATGGCTAAAATCACTATGTAGCCACAAATCAAGCTCTCTTTAGCTATATGGTAGCTGATCTAAGGGGAAGCACCCCCTCCCCAGTATTCTGGGCTCCTGGACAGTCTATACCAATGTGTGCGAGCACTCAAGTCCTCCAGGTAAAATGGCACGTAGCATTTGATAGAGCCTACATATGCCCTCCTCTGTGCTTTGAACTGTCCGGTGACGTGTGATCCCTGACAGTGTAAGTGATGTGTAGATCGTTGGCCGTTATACCGTGGTTTTTAGGGAGCGGTGACAAGAAAGGAGTCTGTATATATTCAGTACGGGTGCAGTTTGGTTTGTTCTGGGCACGTTTGATGCTCGGTTGGCTTAACCAGAGGGTGTGGAACATGCAGCAAGGCAAGCTGGGTGCGCAGCTGGCCAGCTCAGACCTTAATAACCTCATTCTAATGCTTTTAAAGCTGGGGCCTCTGGCTGACTTCTGGAATGTGCTCATGCTGCCTGGGAACCAGTGCAGAAGACCTGGCATGGGAGGGGATTGATGGGAAGGGGAGCAGGGGTCGCCCACAGTGATGGGCAGCTCTGTGAGCCCATCCCATGTGGGAGCCTGGGTAAGAGGGGGAGCTTCCTCAGCTCAGCTTCTGCAGATTGGCAGGAAGGGAGGGCCCTTGACACGCTACCTCTTCAGTTTCTCCCAGAATAACTCTGGAGATGAGGAGTATGTACCTTTGTGGGCTGAGGCATCAGAGGCGTGTTAGTAGGGGACCTAGGGATGTGTGTGACCGCTGCATGACCACAAGTGCACAAAGTTACACACACACACACACACACACACACACACACACACACACACACACACCTCTTCTCACAGCCACTGGGAGGGAGCTACTACCTTCATCAAGCTCTCAGCCAAACGCTGTTTCATTTCACCAGAGATGTCTGTTGATACTTGCTGGTAGCTTGGAGCTCCAGAGAGAGAGAGAGAGAGAGAGAGAGAGAGAGAGAGAGAGAGAGAGAGAGAGAGAGAGAGAGAACAGCTTGGGACCAAGAGAGCTATGGGGCAGATTCCCCCACACAGAGTCAGGGAGAGAGCTACAGAGCCTCCAGGGACCCAATACCGTGAGCTCAGACAGTACAGATGCCCCACAGTCATTCCCCAAAGATCCCATGTATCACACAGAAGCCCTCAAGTTTCCCCATGGACATTCATACCAGAGACTTTAACGTATACCCCAATCCCCACCCCCTCAAAAAAAATCTCAGAATACATCTCCAGTGCCATGGGAGACATCTCTAACACACATTCTCCACAGATGCCCTTTGTTGCATGTTCAGATGCAGCTTCTAACCACCCCCACCCCCCACCTCACCACCACCACCACCACCCTCCCCTCCCCCAACTTCACAAGCACGGACCACAGAGCAGACACTCTCTCTCTCGAAAACACCCCGTAAGGACTCCTGACCCTCACACAACACATGCCATAACTACACTGCGCCCCACAAAACCCCTCAAAGTGCCTGAAACACAAGCACACACCTGTGCACACATGGTCAGTCGCCCGGATTCTCCACACGAGAGGAGAGAGAGGTGGAGAATTTCCTGTAGTATAGTCTACACACTCTCGGACGCAGCCAGGATGCACTTATCACAGCAGCCTCTCATCCATGACAGCGGCCCCACCCCAAGCAGAACTTGCAGAAGCCGCTGGGGGCTTCATAGAAACACTCCCTTCAGACCCAGGCAAACACGGATGGACACTCCCCAGCTTGACACGCTCAAATGCAGACACAGACAACAGACTCCCTTCTACAGGGGACATCTCAGTCACTCTTCCAGCTGGGATCTAGAAAACCAACGCAATCCTTTTATCATGAGCAATACTACAATACTCCAGCACATAAGAGGAGTGGAACAGGAAAGCACCCAGATGACCTCAGGAGACAGTGTCCCACTAGTCTGGCTGACTCGTGTAGAAGCAGGCAGATAGGCATCTCTTTTGTCAGGATTTTGGAGAAAAGGGAGCGGAGAAACTTCGGGAAAGCTGTTTCAGGAAATAGTCCATTCTGAACCCTATGAGGTAGGGGGTGCCCAGCCTGCCCTCTGAGACAGCTGTCCATCTGCTGACTAGTGGGGCTGGGGTCTCTATAGAGCTTTGCAGCCGCCTAGCCCTATGATCCAAAAATTACAGGGGAAAAAAAAATCAGAGGCAATGTCTCAAAAAGAAATCTTCAAGATGTTCTTCGAAAATAGGTCCTCTCAAACAGAGCTTAGGATGGTGGGTGGTATAAGGAGGAGGAGACAGACGTAAGAGATCAAAAAGAAAAGCAAGTGGACCAATAAAAGGGTTGGAACACAATAAATAGCCCTGGGCAGCTGGGAACCATCATGAGAATGGGGAGGGTTCTGGCTAGTGGGCACGGCTTATCGTGAGAAAGGAGTTTACAGCCTTCGGGAGCTGGAGAGAAGCCAGATTCACAGGGCTGCTTACAAACCTAGGGTTTCCCTTAGGTTTAGTTTGCCATGTATCTGTTCCTATCTGCGGTGAGCCAACCAAGGACAGCCTGGTTTTAGGGGACATCAGAAGGCTTCTGCGGATGTACTGGGATAGAACATACGCTCTCCAGACGTCAGTGAGAAAATAGAACATGAATAAAAATACTTGGCATTTGCCTTCGGTGGAGTCTTCTGTGAGTTATACGTCACCGCGATCAGCATACCTGACAGAAACGACATAGGGAAGCTTGTCTTTTGACTACTCCTGTTTCAGAGGGTTCAACCCATGGTGGATCATCTCCTGGGCAGGGCACCATGGTGGCAACATGTGGTGAGAGATATCCTCACTTCCTGGCAGACAGTGATCAGTGTGACGGGAAGGAGCCGGGGGTAATATGTCCCCAAGAATCTTCTCTGAGGTGATATACTTCCTCCAGGCTTGTCCCACATCCAAAGTTTCCACGGCCTTCACAGGAGCGGCACCAGCCACGACCAAAGCATTCAGAACACAAGCCCGTGGGAGGCATTTCTTATTTCAATCATGACAGGGTTTGTTGTTGTTGTTGTTGTTGTTTAATGCTTATATGAGAAGAGTTATCCTTGTTTGCTAACCACTCATGTCCAGATACCAGCCACCAAGTTCTGACTATTTCAACTCCGGTAATAGCTCTAACCAAAGGCTGCCTTCTCCCAGTGACCACTGGCCTCATTCACTGGTCCCCATTATCACTGACACAAACTTCTACTGGCCTCTCATGACCTCATTTCTGATTCCTTATTTCATTTGGGTGATCTGGGGGGGGGGGTCGGGGAAATACATCCAATCTTATGTTGACTCATCAAACATTGACTGAGCCTCTACTACAGGCCAGTCTTTGCCTTTAGCGTTTACAGTGCCTCAGTGGACAAAACAAGATCTTGCCCCTTGTGGAGTTACCATCTAGCAGGAGCAAAATAAAACGACTGTAACAAGTTATATGATATTTTTGAAGCTGATCAATGTGAAAAATTAAGAGTCAAAATGTCCAGTACCCATATGTATATGCGTGGGTGCACACGCCCAAGTGTGCAGAGTGCTTGGTGAGGCAGCTGGGATGGGCTCCATTGAGAGATTCATAGACTCAAAAGAGGGGAGGGATGGGGGGGGGGAGAAAAGCGAGGGGAGAGAGGGGTGACGGGAGGGTGCCACATGGGTGCCTGGGGAGAGTGTAGTGGCTGAGAGAAGTGCCAGAGATGGGACCTTGGTTGGGACGTATCTGGAAAGACTGAGGCAGGGCAGTCAGGCTACAGTGACTATATCAGGACAGGTGACCTGCAAGTGCAGGGAATGTGAGGTCAGGGCACTAAGGGAGGTCCGGGAGGCCAAGAAAGATGGAGACCTTGTCACAGATCCATCATAGTGTACAACGCGTTGGGACTTGTGTTGACAGATCTCTGTCATGGTGATGTTCTGGTTAAAATCTTTCATGAGTGTTTCATGTAACCCACAATACATGATGGGATGGATGGACACCCTGTGCATTTCTTGATGATGCCTGCATACCCCAATGACCCCCATGATCTGAAGCAGGTGGACTTCTAACAAGCATCCTCTTCTGTCATGTCCCTCTGTGTCTGCCCTGGTGGCTTCCTCTGCTTGGTTGTAGTCCCTCTCAGGGCCTCCATGAAGCATCTTTTCTTAGGGAGGTCTTCCTCTCCTCTCCACATCATACCTCCTCAATGTAGTTTGGATCTACTTCACTGGCTGGCGTTACAGCCCTACACCAGACTATCTTGTTTACAATCTCTCTGTCACTAGACTGGAACTCCTACAGCATAGAAGTTTTATTTCTGAATCCTGGTAGGCTTTGGATGGATGGATGAGTGGATGGATGGGTGGATGGACAGACAGATGAAGAATGGATAGAGGTAGAGAGAGGTAGATGGAGGGAGGCAGGAGAGATGGATGGTGGGGGGATTGATGCTGGCTCTCTCATCTGATCTTGAATTCAAGGCATTCTATTTTTAGTTTATAATTAGTTAAGCACTTTTAAATGTTCAGATCTATCAGCATAACATTTACTTCTCTATAATTGGATGTTTCCTGTCTCGACCACCTGCTCTCAAATAATCACTCAGAGGCTTAAATGATCAGCCAATAGCTCAGGCTTGTTACGAGCTAACTCATATATTTAAATTAATTCATGCTTTGCCACGTGGCAGTACCTTTATTAGCATGGCACATTAATCTCCTGCTCCCTCTGCGTCTGGCTCTGCGCCCTCCTCTGCCCTTCTCCTTCCCATCATCCTTAGTTTGGTCACTCCATCTATAGTTCCTGCCTGGCTACTGGCTAATCAGCATTTTATTAACCAATTCAAGTGACAAATCTCTACAGTGTACAAGAGGATTATTCCACAGCATTCCCCCCTTTTTTGTCTAATTAAAAAGGAAAGTTTTAACTTTAACATAGTAAGATTGTATACAACAAAAACAGTTATCAAGGAAGAATTACAGTTGCAATATCCAGTCCATTTGTATTTGGCAAAATTAGAGAAAATATTCTATTATCTCTCTTATCTTTGTGAATCCAAAGTTTTATACCTAATTTATCTTTTATCAAACCTAAGAAAATTATAACTATCCAGTCTTCAACTCCATCCAAGACCCCAGAAGGGTGAAATGTAACCTAATGACAGGGACATCAGGCTGCCTGGACAGTCACCCAAAGTTTCTCTGTAATATTGGGGCATTTAACCCTGTTCTACAGGCCTATCATATCTGACAGACTTTCCTGTGAAGCAGGAAATTCTGAAGGACTGTCTTACTGTCTTGGCAAAGTTCAGCAGTCACCTTTCTTATGTCCTGTTGGTACAGTTTGGACAATATACCATCAGCAATTGATGGCAAGCTTTTGCCATAAAGAAAGCTTACTCTGTAAGGAGTTTCTTCAATGTCCATCATTTTCTCTGAAGTAAATTGGTGCTGCCAGGAGTAGATATGTCTCATTAATAACTAAGTTATTAAACATATTAAATGCCATATTCTGTAGGTCTTTGAAGTGTTTGAAGACCTTCTATCTATCTAAATATATCTGTGTATGACTTTGAAAAAATATCTAACATGACTATAAGTTTGACTATTATAGATAACTATTAATCTGTATTTTTAATTATATATTACATTTTTAAATTAGATGCATAAGCACAATACCCTAAACAAGAGTAGAAATATATATACGGTATAACAAAATTAACTTTAAATTTGTATCAATATACCAAAATATCTCTTAATGTAAAATATTTAAGATTAATAGTTGTTTTTTTAATTAAAGTAGATTCAATAATCTACCATTTTCCCCCATCATTTCTATATCATATCCCCCTTTCTCTTTTTAGAAAGAGATTGACTATGATGAATAACAATTTGTAACCAAGACCCCTTAAATGAAAACAAACATTTATAACCAATATTTTGGGAATATGGGTGTAGTTTTCTAGACTACTTCCTGATGATTGGTGGGCGCTGGTAATCTTTGAGGGACCCTGAGAAAATCAGGATAATTTTTAAATCTTGGCTGGAGTATTCTGTGAGGCTAGATCATCTCAATCAGCACCCTGGAAGCTGCTTTAGCTGTTGGATCATCTGGGCTGTTTTTATTAGTGTCTGGTCCCCTTGTTCTGAAAAATACATAAACTTATAAAGGTAACATACATATTTGTATTAATATAAACGTTGTATTGTACACAATTCAGCCAAAGATAGTTTTTTTTTGTTTTATATTTGAGTAGATAAAATATGCATCATGTGTCTTATAGTTACTTTAGGTTTATTTTCCCATGTCTGTAGTCAGGGGGTTCTTCCTCTATCAAACCTGATCATCTTTAACTTTCCTGTGGAAATAAAAGCAAAACCTCTTCCCCAAAGCAACATACGTTTTGACTAAAATTTTGGAGTCTAGATACTTTTAAATTACATAGATTGGTTTAACTTAGCAGCTTTTACAGTCAAATGTCTCTTAGCAGTTATCATTTGCCCATTAACAGTTAAAAAAAATCCAACACAATAAAATATAGAATCCAGACTCCTTGTGTGTTTCCCATCTTTATGTGGCTTATTATAATTTTTATTACTCTATTCCTTTTTAAAGGACCTTTTCTTTTCTCTCTCAAACCTACATATGTGTCTTAACACACTGTAAACTGTTTAGAGGGTTTTTTTTCCCATATGAATCTGTCTTTACTGCATATCTCTACCTTTTTCTGACCAAGGGAGCCTTTAAACTGCTAAGCGTCATGGCTAGGACCAAAGCTTTGGTGGCTGGCTCCACCCCACGCCTTTGTTCCCTGAGTGCCTACCTTCATGATGGAGGTAACTGGCTGGAGCCTTGTTTCCCACCCCAACTCTGGCAAGTTTCTGAGTCCACGATGCCACCGATGAGCATGTCACCCGCTGTCCATAAACCCATTTAAGTGTTTGGTAATGCCCTCTTAAAAGAGCTACTTGGTTTTTTGCCATTAGTACTGAGTCAGGAAGCTACCTCCTAAAGGAGCCATACCTCTGCTTACAGCTAGCAACAGAGCCTACCCAAGAAAAAGTGGTTACCAAGAAGCCAAGTTTGACTCCATTTTTGTGTGTTTAGAAACATTTTTAAAGTCTTTTCAGGCTTTATATGGAAATTCTTGCCGAATGTTTGGGCGCCATATGTACCTGGACATTTCCTGTCCTAACCACCTGCTCCCAAATAATCACTCAGAGACTTGTATTAATTATAAATGCTCAGCCAATAGCTCAGGCTTGTTACTAGCTAACCCATATATTTAAATTAACTCATATTTCTACTTATGCTCTGCCACATGGTGGTAGCTGTATTAGCATGGCATGTTCATCTCCTGCTCCCTCTGTGTCTGGCTGGGGACTCCTGACTCTACCCATCTCCTTCCCATCATCCTTATTTTGGCTACCCTGCCTATACTTCCTGCCTGGCTACTGGCCAATCAGCGTTTTATTAACCAATTCAAGTGACAAATCTTTACAGTACAAGAGGATTATTCCACAGCACTTCTCTGCCACTGGGAACTGGCTGGAGTCTATATGGGAAGCTGTAAGCATGTGGACTCATCAGTTGCCTGCAATGGCTGGTTTGTTTGTTTGTTTTTTATCAAGTTAAAAGGAAGGGATTTTGGTAAGCAGAGTCTTACTTCCCCGTTGACCGAATATAACTTCAGAAACACTTTCATTTTTGACACACTTTTCAATTAGCCATTTGCACTCTTGCCTTCAATTTTGTTGAACTCTCCCATCCCTTTTAACCTCCGTCACATGCATCATGCAGCTAAAAGGTGGCTGATTTATGCCTGGCATTATATTGAGGAGATTCTCTCTGGACATAAATACTTTTGCCTTGCATGAATGCCTCTAATTAATTTTTTTCTAATGTTGTCTTGCTGAGTTTGAATTTTGGAGCACCTTTTTTTCTTATCTTGAGAGAAGTTGTAATATGCTGACTCTGCGTGTTACAGTCAGAACAGATTGTTTGAAAATACTTTATTAATTCTTTGAGAATGTTGTTTGATGGTATCCTCCATATGTCTGACGGTGGTTTTATGCAACACTATCAGTGCACCTGTGTTTAATTACAATTTGTCTTGTGAAGTCAAGTATGAGATTTGCCACTTGTAGCCTTTTGCATTTGGGGGACTTTTCTGCTTCTTTAAGTTTAGACTAGGGCTGTTCAATCTGTGGTAATTTTTCTATCTTATTAGGAATGCCTTAAAAAATGTTTCCCTTGGACATTTTAACACACATGGGTGTATGTCCTTTAACTAACTTCTTAGTATGACTACTTTTCAAGTATTGAGTTTCCATGTTTCAGCACACTGAAAAGCTATCTTTTGATAGTTCCCAAGACGTTTAATCAAATGTACTTCAGAATAGGAGACCAAGCCCTGGAATCTGGACTGCTTCCCCAAACCTGTGCTTTTCACCTTGGACCTGCGGCCAGGGCATCACTTGGGAGTATAGGAACTGCAGGGTCTCAGGGACCTGGCATCTCCATTCTGGGTACGCTTATTGCTGTGGGATGATCTGTATGTCAAATTGCTCTGATTGGTCAATAAATAAAACACTGGTTGGCCAGTGGCTAGGCAGGAAGTATAGGCGGGACTAACAGGAGAAAAGAAAGAACAGGAAGGCAGAAGGAGTCACTGCCAGCCGCCGCCAGGACAAGCAGCATGTGAAGATGCTGGTAAGCCATGAGCCACGTGGCAAGGCATAGATTTATGGAAATGGATTAATTTAAGCTATAAGAACAGTTAGCAAGAAGCCTGCCACGGCCATACAGTTTGTTAAGCAATATAAGTCTCTGTGTTTACTTGGTTGGGTCTGAGCGGCTGTGGGACTGGCGGGTGACAGAGGTTTGTCCTGACTGTGGGCCAGGCAGGAAGACTCTGGCTACAGAATATTACATTTGAACCTCAGTTCTGAGTTTTACTGAACCATGAGACGATCATCATGTGCAATTGTGGACAGGTAGTCAATCCAGCCACAACCACTGGAATCCAGGCCGCCCAAGCTGGAGTTCTGATGAACTCACTTTGCAAGTCCCTTATCTTTTGTGCCTCTGTCTCCCCCTCTTTCAGAGAGGTTAATAACAATGCTCTAGTAGGGATTTTTTTTTTTAATTCCTTTTTCCCTATAGAAACTCAGAAGCTTCTAAAAGGAGCACCTTTGCCCTCAGGTTGTACAAACATCTCATTAAAAGGGGGGACATGGGGGCGGGGGCTAGAGAGATGGCTCAGGGGTTAAGAGCACTGGCTGCTTTTCCAGAGGTCCTGAGTTCAATTCCCAGCATCCACATGGTGGCTCACAACCATCTGTAATGAGATCTGGTGCCCTCTTCTGGCCTGCAGCCAGACATGCAGGCAGAACACGGTATATGTAATAAATAAATCTAATTATTTAAAAAAAAAAAAAAAAAGAATAAGCAGCCGTATTATCTGTGGCAGTTACATGCTTGGCTCCCCCCCCCCAACTCCAGAAAAGAGAGCGCTCAAGAGTGTGGCGCATTCAGAGAGAGCCCCACTGGCAGTACTGGGGGCTGAGAGAACGGATAAGGATGAGAGGAGGGTACGAGGAGCCTCTGACTGAAAGATCCTGGGAAGCAAGTCTCCCGGCTGAGGACAGGGTGCGAGAGGGCAGGCTGCTCCTATCTTTCTGAGATTCTTCTCTTCTTCTCCTTAGAACCTGGAAGAAGATGCCTAAAGTTGAGGACATGCCGAGCATCGCCCTTCGCAGTGCGGCGGCCTCTCCAAACACAGAGTACAGCCGCTGGAAGGTGCACGGAGATTGTGTCACTCAGGTAAAAATGAGCCGAGGAAGCGGACTAGAGCTCGCCGGCGGCCCTCTCGGGGTTCAGGCACACCACCTGAGCCGTCAGGGGAGACGGCTCTACACTGCCCCGTCAGCCACCGCTGCTCCTAAGGCAACGCGGCAAATCCAAATGAAAACAAATCAATGTCACATAAAATTCACCAGGGAATGAACCCCCTGGTGGGATTGGTCCTTGCCCAGTGTCCTCAGGTCTGAAGACTGCAGACCTCTTCCCCTTGCTCTTGAGGGCGGAATAAAAGCAACTCAACTCACACAACCAGAACGGCTTAGGAGAAGAGTGGGGTTATGTGTGTGGGATTGAGACCCCGGGCTTTTCTCTGGCCCCAAGAACCTGAGCCCTCGAGTCTCGGGTATTCAGGCACATAGGAAAGGAAGTCCAGTGGTGGGTGGGGACATCAGGAACCCTCGGGATGGACACAAGGTGTGCAACCTTACACCGTGGCTCTTCTCTCCGAACACACCAGGCTTAAGCCAGACAGAGAAGAGCCTAACTGAGAAGCTTCTGCAGGAAACAAATGCTAAGAAACTTTACTGAGAGCTGGGAAGATGGCCCAGCCGGTAAAAGGGCCCTGCTGCCAAACTTGGGGACCTGGGTTCAATGCCTAGGACAGGCAAAGTAGGAGGAGAGAACTGACTCTCAGAAGCTGTCCTCTGACCTTCACACGTGTGCCATGCGCACACACACACACACACACACACACACACACACACACTACACCCATACACACATATATACACTCAAAATCAATCAATAAATGTAATAAAAGTTTTGAAGAAATAGTATTGAGTATAAGAAAAAAAATCAGGAAACCACCAAACTTACTTTGTAAATAAAAGGGAAAATTAAAGGGAAAGGAATGTTGGATCAAGATCATTTTTCTACAACACAAAGACCAACAGAATTCAAACACGACTTTATCACTGCCTTGGGGACCAGCCTCTAAGGCAGCGCTCAGGGCTGGGAGGGAAAATCCACAGCGTTGGCGCTTACTGGACTTTTCTATCCGAGAGGCTTAGGAAGAAGACCCTCACACATTCTCTTGATCATTTCCTTCTTTACTCATCTGCCTCTTCTGATGGACTGACTGGGCTGGATCCCGCTGTCTCCTTACAGCCGTACAGAAGCGTATTTATCAATTGTTACATAGAGTATTTCCTCATACCCGTCTCTACTCTTAATTTAAACATCTTACTGAACGGAGCATCCCACGCCTCCATGGCTCTAGTCCTTCATTATGTATTGTGTGCAGTACACAATAATACAAGAGCCCCAGGGGTGCCTGAGGTGACTTGTGACCAAGGTGATGGGATGGCCACAAGGCCCCCTCAGTGAAACAATCATTGTTCTCCAGGAGGATTCTTCAGGGTCAAAGTACTTCTAAGAAGTGTCCATTTATTCTAGTCTGTATCCCATACAGTGATTTTACTAAATTCCAGCAGAGTACAGGCAATGTGTTTTTCATCTCCTTCACATGATTAAAAATAAAGTCATCCCAATATCCCATAGACATTTATGTCCAAGTAATTGATTGCAGGTCAGCAGAGGATAAGCAGACAGAAAGCATCTTTTCACAGATAGCTCCCTTGCTGGCAGGGTGTGTACCAGGCTACCAAGAAAGACTCAACCATTCTACTGACTATCTAGAAAGTTAATCTTACAAGGAATCCTAGAGGAACCACAAACCTAAACTTCTGTACATAAAAGACAACCAGTCGGCTGTACTTTAGATCTTTAGGGTGTATACCCATCTATCTCTACTTTCTTATATGAAGGGGTTGAGGGCAGGAATGGGTACAAGGAGTTAATCATCACCTTTGATCAACAACCAGCCTTAAAAGTTGGACTGCTTTGTGTTTTTAACCTCCGCTATGTGTCCTTATGGAATTAGGTTGTTCTCTGTGGTTTTTTTCATCTTAAAGTTATTGTCAAAACATCTAATCTAACCTGAAGCTATTACAAGGCTTGTTTCAGCCAAATGACACACACTGAGATCTGTAACCGTATCTTTTCAGCATTAAGAGAGTTAGGGCCCGCCTGGCTTCCAGAGAATTCAGTTGCTCTGCTAATCATTGACCTGAGCTGTGAATGAAAGCAGCTCCTTGGGTGGAACTGGAGCCCTTGGCTGTGAAACAATCCTGGTATATACTTTTATTCATCAGATCTTTATATAAGCTGACATTATTATCAATTAGATGGTACAGCTTTGGGAGGAAGTCATCTTCATAATGATTTGTAGGTAAAACTACCCAGCAGGAAAGGAAGTTTCCATGAGATAAACACATTACCTTATACAGGCTGTGAGGAATTTCCCCACACCCAATTCAACCATGCCAGGTATCAGAGAGAGAGAGAGAGAGAGAGAGAGAGAGAGAGAGAGAGAGAGAGAGAGAG